AAACGTATCTGGGTGATTATTTCACTTTTCAGAGTTTTCTCTGATTTAGTTGCAGGAGCAGCTGCAGATCTGGGGATCTTTTTCATGTAACTAATTATGTTCCCAATGAAGTTGTGACGAAGTTACACGTTGGGAGGAGGGATGGAAGGCGAAGTGGATCTAGCTTCACTATTGATTTTCTGTCTTTTATTGTGATGTATCTCAGCTAGCCCTTGTGTAGATACCACATTCGTGGGAGTAGCAAGAAGCCGTTACAAAAATAAGAGCAGCTAGCTGATGAAGTGGAGATCATTCCTTGGGAATACAGAATCGCTCCAGGACATCAGCTGAGATTTGGGTGGTTGCTCTATAAAATGGGAGAAAAGAGTCAACCTGCCTTTTGTACAATTTTAGTCAGTCTTCTTCAGGTAAAACATTGATTGGTCTTTTTATTGGGTTCTTAATCACATGCAAAAAAACAATTGAAGTATATTTTGACATCATAGACAACATTGGAGCAAATCTGAGATTAAAAATTCACAAAAGCCTTCAAGTTAATAAAGGGATATTAAAACTTGTCCATAGTTTACAATGTATGTCTCTATAACGTCTTTTTTTTTTTTCTGTAAGCAATGTTGACTTTTGAAAACAAACTTTCCAGCTTTGAAAAGTCCCATGCATTTTGGCTGACTCTTAATTCAGTAAGAGTTTGTTCAATTAATATGTTAAAATGCACTTTTAAAAAGTGTTGGATACTTATGGGACTCTTTTAGAATTTGTGAAAGGATTTTTAAAATCTCAGGATTACTCTAACTTGACCTGCTCTGGAGTGCAGAAACCTTCTGGGTACCTTCAGGTCCCCTCCAAAAATGTGTCCTGGGAAACTGGGCCAATCATTTGCCCTATCTCGGTTCCAATCCTGAGTGGGTGTAGAGCAGCCCAGCTCTAGAAAAATGAAGAGCCAAAAGCCAGACTGGCTGATTGGTGGACACATTTCAATTGCATTCATTCGTTTGCTTACAGTTAGACAGTCTTGAATAAAGTGACAGCAGTTGTGGCAAATTAGTTCTCTGTAAGTAATTGCTTTTGTAAAGGCTTCCACAGTAGCTGAAAAAATATAAATGAAAAAAAATATGTATACACATAAATGAAAGGATTAATTCCTTTATCATAAGTTTAGACTTGAGTCAGCAGCCAAATTTAAATCTTTTTAAAATATATATTTTATTTATTTTTAGAGGGGAAAGGGAAGGAGAAAGAGTGGGAGAGAAACATCAATGTGTGGTTGCCTCTCATGTGTCCCCCACTGGGGACCTGGCCTGCAACCCAGGCATGTGCCTTGCCTGGGAATTGAACCAGCAACCCTTTGCTTCACAGGCCCGCGCTCAATCCATTGAGCCATACCAGCAAGGGCCAAATTTAAATCTTAATAAATGAAATTGCTACACAAATGGCAGGCCTTACACACTTAACCCCAAAGCAATAAATTCCTTAAAGGTTATAAGAACATCACTTGCCTATACTTGTATATATGCTGTATATCTACAGCTGGCTGGCCTTTGAACTTCGTTTGTATTGTGACTTTTTCTATAGTTTCTACATGAATGATGGATTATTAGTTACACATGAACTGAATAAATTTGCTAATTCTTCTAGTTTACTCTTTATAATTAGTAAATGCAAGAAAGGAGAGTAGGAGTTGGATTCTTCGATGAGAGATACCTTGAGGTAGGCAAATGGTTTGAAAAAAGGAGGCTTTTTACTCAGAGAAAGGCAAATACCATGTGATTTCACTTACATGCAAAATCTAATGAACAAAAACACCAACGGAACAAAAATAGGAACAGATTCACAGATACAGAGAACAGATTGACAGCTGTCAGAGGGGAGGAGATGGGTGTAAAAGGTGAAGGGATTAAGCAACAAAACAAAACAAAACCAAACCCTCACAGACACAGACAACAGAAGGGTAATTACCAAAGGGAAAGGGGGCAGGGGAGGTAGAAGAGCGGGCATAAATGGTGATGGAAGGAGACTTAACTTGGGGTGGTGAACACATAATACAACATACAAAGGAAGTATTGTAGAATTGTATCCTTGAAACCTATATAATTTTATTAACCCATGTCACCCCAGTAGATTCAATTACAATAAATAAACGAATACATTGCAGGTCTAAGTGAGCTGCCTGAAGGCTCTGTAGTTAGAGAAAGAATCTGTTAAGTGTGGGTTTGAAATTCTGTTTCCAGCATTGTAATTACTAGTGGTCTGTCTAGGGGCTGTATTAACTCGGTTGCAAAAACACTCACATTTATGAATTCATTTGAAACAGCATATGTTTTGGCGTATGCACAAGTCTAGTTATGACTCTAAACTTTATTGGCGAATCTCATGTGACTTGTCTTTCTGGAGAAGTGAGCATACAACGTACAAGTTCAGCCTGCTATTCGGGCAACGTGTGTTTGTTTTTGAGAGATCTCAAACTGTTTTTTATGAGAACATTAACTCTCACTGGGAAACAACTCTACCACCAACTGCCCCATGGGAGAAGATGTGTGGGAACACCTGCGTCCTGCTGTTGGGAGGAGAACGGGCTGCTGGGGAGCAAGGCCGGTAACTGACGGCCACGCACTGAGAACTGGAAAATAGAGAACAGCTGCCTTCCTCTCCATCCCTGACAGTCATGCAAGCACTTCTGAAGGAGTCTTCAAAACCCTCAAGGAGAAAACCTTGGTCATTGAAGTTACAGCTTTGAGTGGGAAGATAGTGATTGTGCTTGGCACATCAGAGGCGCTCAGTAAGTGTGTTGAAAGAATGACTAAATGAATAAACTTTGTAACGTTCTGCAGAGCTGGTAGCATATCCAGAAAGGCTGGGCCATGTTATTGCCGGGGTAGTAAGTAACAACCACTTTTCTTAACAAAAATAGGAAAACCTCCCATCTACACCTAAGATGGAAAAGATTCTCTGGTCAGTCTCGGAACCAACGGCAGTCATGTGGGTGCTTATGTGAATCTACAAAGGAGCCCATTATTCTTAACACCTTCTTGTCATGGAGCTGTTACAGAGAGAAAAGAGAATAGTAGAATATGGATATTTTAAAAAATAAGCTTTTGCTTTAAAAAATAAGAACACAAGCATTTTCACAGCCTGAAAAATTAACATGAAGCAAGTAGTTGCTACTGTAAGATACTGGTGAGGTCTTCCTCAGCATGTGGGGTGTGTACTGTTGGCTTGAAATCTTTGACCTTGCAATCTACAAAGGCTAGGAGATGTGAAAAGCTTTGTAAAGAATTTCCCAAGAACTGAATAAATGTAATCTCACATTTTGGTAGTATTTGTACCACTTACTGATACATTTTCAGATGTGTTGAGTTAATCATTCTCAGATAGGCTTTAACAGTGTCGTCGGCTCTTACCATCAGAGCTGATGTCTAAGCACGATACTTCACTAGCAATCCTGAGAAGAGAGAACGCATTCGAAGCTTCCCTGCAGGAGAGTGAAGAGTTGAGCTGTGTAGTGTCAGATGACCGGACTCCTCACAACTCCATCTGCCAGCTGTGAAACCGTGGGCACCTGGGTTCATTTCTTGGAGCACGCTTTCTCCCAGTACATTGATTGAATGAGAATAATAGGACCAGTGTCATAGGGCCGTTATGGCAAAGACTAAACGTGATTACATATGCAAAGTGCTTTGAATAGTGCCTGGTACAGAATAAGTAATGTTTCCTAAAGAGTCAAAATTTAAGTTGAATGACGTGAAATGCTTAAAAATGCTCAAAGCCAACCAGCTGGCAAATATACTGCTTCTTAAGGGGTAAAATTCCAGAGAAAGGAGTCCTTATGTACTCCTTCAAATAAAAATGATAAACTCGGGAAAAGTTTATTTTGAGTAACTAACACACAATTAATTAGGCATAAAATATTCCAGTGCTGAATTACTACTTACATTAACTCCCTACTAAATTGTATTACATGTGGGTATGGATATTTATCTGGCGTCTAATGCCAATATTCCAATTATTTATGAAAATTAAGGCATGTAATTGGCCACTTAAAACTGGGGTGACTTTTCTTGCAGTCCCACCACCTTCATGCTTACGTGTCAAATAATACAGCTAAAAATTTAATGTCTTTCAAATATTTATCGACTGCTTGTTACATAACAAACACTATATTCAAGAGCATGAGGGAAAAAAGTAAGCAACTTAGGCTGATACTATTCAGAGCCCTTATTTGTGGAGAAATACTGATGCAAAAGAACAGATCTATCCCATCAAGGTCCAGCATGGCGCAGGCAGAAGTGGCCTGGACCTCCAGCACCAGGCCCTCGTTTCCAGTAGCCCGTCTCATTTCCCCAAATTCCCCAGGGCAGGAGGGCGGCCAGTGTTGCTGATGACATCGCCTGACATCACTGTTCCGGATGATAGGAGAGCTTGGGGCCCGCCTGGCCCACCTCATCCGTGGCCTGACTGCATTAACCCCTCAGTTCCCTGCTGCTGGCCACGTGAGGTGTCCTAATATGGTCGGACTACAGAGGAGCCAAGGAGCGCTTGCCTTTCTCCAGCTAATGGGGAGGAGGCAAGACAAACGTTTCGAGTCACGCAATTTGAAGCAAAGCAAATGGGGCTTTGGGGTAGCTTCTGGGCGAGTTGAAAGTCAGTCGCAGCAGAAGCTTCTGCCTCAGGGTAGATCTATCATTTAATAAACCCCGGCTAATCCAGTCTCCCCAGAGGCTTTCTACCTCCCCTCCCCTCCCCTCCCCATCAACAATCCTGGGTCGTCCCCCAGCTTCGGTCCCCATTTCTGAACCGGAGGCGACCTGGGGGTTGCTCGCCAGGACCTCTGCGCGGGACTCTCCCTGCGCCTTAGGTCTCAGCAGCCTGGGGGGAGATGCTGCTGAAAGGCGTGTCTGGGCTGTGCTCATGTGATGAAGCGAGGGAAAAACAAGGGGGAGGAGGAGGAGGCAAAGAGGTGGCTTTTTTTTTTTTTCTTTTAAGGAGTTTGCCGCGAGCGCGTCTCCCGCATTCGCAGTCCGGGCGCGTTCGGAGGAGGAGCGAGAGAGGAAGGTGCTCTGGGGACCTCGCGGGCGCACGGCTTCTGGCTCAGCCCGGCGTCCCTGTGATTTAGAGAAGGTGTAACCCGGCGGCTGGGCGCGGGAGAACTGCAGAGAAGCCATGGGTGCTGGGAGCTCGACCGAGCAGCGGAGCCCGGAGCAGCCGGAGGCGGGGAGCCGGACGCCGGCGGAGCCGGAGCCCAGCGGCAGTAGCCCCGTGGCGGAGGCGGCGCCTGGGGCTCTGGAGGACCCCGCCATCGCGGCCGCGGACCCGGCCACCAAGGTACCGGAGCGCGGGGCCACCTGCCGGGAGGAGGCGGGGGTGGGGGAATTCCTCCGATTTCTGCCTGCAAGAACTTCCCGGCCCGTCCAGCCCATCTGTAAACTCCTGCGCACGAACCCCTGTTTTCGGGGTTTGTTCTTTCTCTTTCTCTCTCTTTTTTTTGCGCCGGGGCAAGACCTAAGCAGCGGCGAGCGTGGCGGGGTCTCGCATCATTGTCGCGGGTCTCCAGGGGAGGCGACTGCGCCATCCGCAGTCATCCTGGCCCTGCGCGCCGCTAACCAAGCCTTTCTCCACACTCTTCCGGTGGTAGCAACCCCACCCGAGACGCCTGGGCTGCCTAGGGAATCTGTGGAGAACTGATCTTGGGCTGAGTCTTGAGCCCCCGGCCCCACTTTCTCCCAGATGCGGAGAGTAAGCTGCTTGGCCAGGGCCAATGTAGTAGTAGCCTGGCGAACCCGTGACTTGTGGGATCCCCACCTCCTACAGTGGTTGTTACTTAGCTGTGCCTGGAGCGACCTGGGTTTGGTACCCAGTCCTCCTGCGGCAGTGGCTGGAGCAGACACCGCCTTCCTGATGCAGAGAAAGCCTAGGGTGTAGCTCGCTGGGAGCCAAAGAAAACCTGGGCAGATGCAGCATTTCCGAAAAGAATGGCAGGTTTCGCAAAGAGGGCAGCGTCTTCCTTTTCGCTCAGTGCATTGCCTATGGGCTCGTTTGGAAAAACAAATACTGGAGGAGTAGTTAGAAGTTCTCAGAGGATGCGGTCCAGCATAGACGAGCATTCCCTGTATTTTTGTCTCTGGAGGTAGTGCTGAGCCTGCTGGGAAATTTGCGGTTTATAGTCTCAGGTCTTCAAGGCTGAAATATATCTTCCTGGACACTACAGCAGCCAAGTTTGCACTTGTTCAAGTCATTGGGTTTTAGATCCATTTTCCAGCGTGTGCGTTCATTAGCAAAGCGTCACCCAATCTGTTTTAGGATATCCTATAGAAAGATGTGAACAATCTTACTTAATGTTTAAAAAAAAATCCATGTGTCGAATCTGAGTATGCAGGTTATACGAGGACCTTCAAGAATTATCTCAGAAGGTATAGATGTGTAATACATGTTGATGCGTAGGTAAGAATATAGGGGGAAAAATAAGCTGAAGTCCAAGTAAATTTCACAGAACCGTGAGCTCATTGTCTTAGCTTCTTTAGCTGCCCCAGTCTAGTTTGGGTTAAGACTGCTCTTAAAAACTAGATTACCTTCAGTCTTCAATTTAGAACTACTTGTAAAAACCCATGGTCCCCACAGCTGTAGATAACTGAGATACTAACCAATACTAACTGCCTAGTGTATCTAGATTTTCTAAGAGGTGCCCAAGCCTTGGGCCTAGGGAATGTACTGTTCTTTGGAGGTCTGAATCACACTTTAATACTTACTGTACATACTTTTTAATGCCAACTACTGTCAAATGGTTGTATCACCAATATTTAGAGTCCAGTAATGAAAGTAACTTTAATGTGTAATTGCTGAAAGCTTACAGTCAGGTTCATTTTTCCCTTGGCTTTTACCACACCCCAGTTTTTGTATTAACAGTTCACAGTGAAATATGCTACTCTCATCCCAACACACTCGGATTTGTTCATTTAAAAATATTCCTTCCATTTTCTTTTAAAAAATTTATTAATTTTTTTTTGAGAGAGAGAGAGGAAGGGGGAAGAGAAACATAAATTTGGTCCACGTATTTATGCATCGATTGGTTGATTCTTGTGTGTGCCCTGACCAGGGAACAAACCCACAACTGTGGCATATCAGGATGACGTTCAGTTCTAAACAACTGAATTACCCCACCAGGGCTCCATTTCCTAATTCTCTTCTCTTTATAGCCTTCTTCCATAATCTTCTCCCTCTTTCCTGGCCACCACCATTTTGAAACAGCCATACGATGTCCTTTAAAAAAATGACTTAAATGACATCCAGAATACCACTGAACTTTTTGGCGTTCTGCCCAGTTATCAATTTGGAAGCAATCAATACGCTTGCATGTATCCTTGGAAGATGTGTAGTTTCTCATTTCAATTAGCCAAGTTTCTCAAGCTTTGAGGACCTACGAATTTTCAAAAGAACTCTCTAATTAAGAATGACTCAGCACACCGGTCTGGCCTCCCCTCCTCAGCCTGTTCAGCTGCGGTTCCTGACCTCTGAGTAATTCCATCTGCCATTCTAGGCTCTCACAACACCATGGGCTCTTCTTCCCCGCAGATTCCACATTTGTGGGTTTGGTGACTTGACTAGAAAGAGTTTTTCTAGCTAGTCGTAATGTTTCACAAGGGCAGGAGCCATACCTGTTTTGTTTGTAACAGGTGCTTCCCGCTGCCTGGCACGTAGCAGGCTCCCAGGAAGGGCTGGCTCCCTGGTTTTGACTGGAGACTGCCAAGTGGGGGAATACCCTGGCCCATCTAATTTTCTACAGTTTAACCTTTGACCTCATCATAATCCATCTTGCGTATCAGACAGTGATTATGTCGAGTCAGTCTGTTCGGTTATTAATCTGGTGAATATTTTGGCAAAAATTCAGATTTGGGGACGTTGTTTTCTATTTCACTAGAAAAAGTGGCATGCTAGGCGATTTCGAATTGCCTTTCATCTCAAGCAGACACATATATTGGCCACAAATACGCAAGTGGCTCAAATGAGACCACTTCAATGCATTGAATTAGTTATGAATCGCGTCTTGAGCTTTCTTGTTTGGGTGTATGGACATTTGAGGAGGTTTAAACTAATACATCATTCCCTTCCCACTAGTAGAATGCTGATCACTAGTTAAAGGCTGCTAGCAGACTTTTTTCCCCATCTAAATGACACTCATATCATATGCATCCCGCCTATTTAGCAATCCGGCTTACTTTGCTTTTTCTCCGTGAATTTCAGTTACCAGTTAGTTACTGGGTAGGTGCTCATGCATTAAAAGATGTTACACTGAGTTATTACTCCTATCAGATCAAACTCAATTACTCAAGCCTAACATTTAGATGACGAAGTCTTGTTTTTGATCTGTGGTATTTTTCAGTAAATAGGGAGGTACCTTGTCTTCCAGTCAATCTTTTACAGCCTTAATTTGTAAATTCTGGGTGAAACTGGCTTGATCAGTTATTTTCCAGGTTTTATGTTGAGACTTGGCTATTTTGGCCACTGCAGGGAGAGGAGTATTAGATGGCCAAACACAAGTGGTAAATAAAACCTCAGTAACCCCCAGTCATCTGCTTTAAAATTTGCCTTCCAAAGAGAGTTTTAAATCAGCTGGCAATATAGGGTAGCGTATATTGGAGAGAACTGACAAATTTACTTCCATGACTGTGGCAAATCTTGATTCTGGAGATAAGTTCCAGGTTGAGTCCGGAGAGTCAATCCTCTAAATGAGCCTTTCTGCACTTTCTGCTCAATCAGCGACTTCGGAGCTAGAAGTGGAGCAGTGGTCAGTGGCAAGAGTTTGAGGCCAGTGTCCCTGGCAGGTGGGATGCTGGGACTCCTGTCAGTCCTTCAAGCTGTGGTTCCATTTGATTATACAAGAAGAGCTGAGTCACCAAAACATAAACATGTACTCAAGTAGAAGAATCCATCATCTGCTGAGTAGACTGATGTCTTTGCCTTTCATGCATGAAAACGGACAGTTGAGTTGACTAACTCAATAATTCCTCCTCCAGCCGAAGGTGTATGTGCTTCCTTCTCTCGTTTGCCCTCTGTTTATAGGATGGGAATGGAGACTGGGGTCACTTTAATGTGATTATGTCACTAGTTCTACACTAAAAGGGCCAGAATTTAAGATGATTAGGTGAGAATTACATGTTTGTTAATACAGTAGTATGTTTTTGTGTTGGCTACCTGTATTCTTAGGGATTTCCCCCAGTTATAAGCGGTGCCGCTATCTGATCGGAACACAGCCCCAGAATTGGAGATACAGATGTGAGCATGGTCATTTAGGGCAGCCACAGCCTGCGGGGGCCACGGGCCTTCTTTTGAGTCTGTTACAGCCTTTTGGGCCGGTAGTGGTATGAAGTCAGTAGAGATTTCCACTTGAAATACACCCCCTACGATGCACAGACCTCGGGTGTGCATTCTTTTGAATTAAGTTTGTCGACTGAGCTCTATGCCTGGGCAGCTTTAAACTGTTGCAAGAAGGATCCTTCTAGTTTGGTATCTTATGGGATAATTCATAAAATGGAAATAAAATGTCTAATTTTAAAGGGTGCGATGGAATTGTCTTCCCTTTTTCGTCAGCAGCTTTTGCACATACGCGGTGCCGTAGAACACCAGAGAGGAAAATCAGACTCAGTGGAGCTTATCCTGGCCTGCGGGTGCTGCCGTTGTTCACGAAGAGAGGAATTAGGATTTACAGCACTCCACATTTGGAGAAAAAGTTAGCGCTTTTAGCTCGTGAAAAAATCCTGAGTATCCCTGAACCCAGTTCTTAGTTCTCTTATAACCTCTCAATTTAGAATAAGTTAAATTCAAAAATAATACAATGAAAAAATATGGGGAAAAGCGCTATGTGTATTTTTAATAAATTCTTGAAAGATTTATAATCGATTGATGTATCTACTTAGTTTTGGGGCCATTTTTCTGCAAATAAGCACCAGGTCAAGGAATGTAAGTAAGGGTAGGAGTTGGTGCCTATGATCATCCCTTTATGTCCCGCCTGTTAGCACAGCTAGTGAACGGATCGGGGTGAAGATGTCAGCAACTAGTTGTTCCATTCACACGTGCCTTCGTGTTTGTTATCATGAATAGTGTCGTTTATTTAAAGCTGACTGTAGCTCTGATGTCATTTCTGAATCGTAAAGATTTTACAAGGCGATCAGAAGCATTTGTTTACTTTTATTGAGGTGATTTTTTATTTAAAGACTTTGCATAACAGGATTCATTTAATGCTTTTTTTTTTTAAAGAAATGTTAATGGTTGAGCAGCTCAGTTTGTCCTACAGTAAAAGTGCAGGTCCCCTGTTTTTTCTGACCCCTCAA